GGGGGGGTGAGGGGTGGGGGGCCTTAGTCCACTCACTTTTACGAGAATGACACATATTCTCTTAGGTGCTTCACAGAGCCTGTGATAAGTTTGCCTTGATACTGATCAAAGGCAAACCGCAGGATGACTCTAGTTCTTGCAGTACATGCGCAAATCGACCGCTTTACGTCCATCGCTTTATTGGGCAATCGATTTCACAAGGCATCCATTCGAGGAAACAAGGCTTGACCAATGAACCAATGTATGTATAGATAGGTTAGTACTCGTTTACATCGACCAAAAGGACCTTTGAGTGAGTGTCAAAAAATAGAGCGAATCTATTGTTTTTGTTATTGTGTTTTATGATCCAATAGGTCATTTTAGCCGTTGTGGACGAGTGCTGACCGTACTCTTCGATTGCACGTTACGTCATCGCGGCCATGTTGGTGCCATTTAAAAAAGATTTCTTATTAGCATCCATTGTTAACGGCACCACAATGGCCGCCATGCTTTTGTCTTTTGACTCTCTTGGGAATATTTGCAACCCATCAATAGGTAGTGGTCAATCACTCTCGACACAGCCCTGTCATTTTTACTGTGCATGCACAATGAAATGAGCATGCGTAGTAAGAATGATAACGCTCTGTAGTCGAGGGTAATGGTCAGTGATAAAGTATTACCAGTATTGTTTAAATATTTTCTGCATTATAACCGCTTTTTGTGCGCAGTTATTAGTAGATGGGTCAGCCAATCAGAATAAGGAAATATTTGAGTTGAATGAACAATGAAGAATACAATCAAATCATTATTATGGAAATTGCATACCAAGAAACATTGAAAGAACAGTGAAATATCATTCCTTCCAACTCGTTGGCTTCCAAAGTCTGTTGAAAAGAGTCGAAAGAAAAGGCAATAAATAACAATGTCTTGATGCCGCCGCGAGGGATGCCCTACTCCCCGGCCAGCAGCAAGAAGGTAACCATGGTAATTAACCACGTTTGACTGGCAGCAGTAAAAAATTAATTTCGAAAAAGCAACTCGTAACTAAAGAGTTCGCATGACTTTGAAAAATTGCTTTAAAACTGAGTTTAATTATGAAGTCATTCTACTTTGTATCACAGTACGAGATAGTCTCCCTCGCATCCGTTTTTAGTGTCGGTCGTCACGCAACGCTCCCTCTCCACAAGGGAGCGTTGCGTGACGACCGACACTAAAAACGGATGCGTGGGAGACTAAGTACGAGAATGCTCAGATGCTTTTCACTCATTTCGGCGTGCGTGGAAAACGGCTAATAAAATAAGGAGCACTGACATTCTGAGGGTGTAAAATATCCACCTTCGAGCGCTTTAGACATGAGTCTCTTGCTCGGGAGAAATGGGCAACCCATCCCCGCGTTATCGAAGTAAAATTTTTGCCTTTTTAAATTTATTTTAGAGATAGCATTAAACGGCAATGAACTTTATAAACATTGGCATTGTTGATCAAGTCATTGCGCATTCTTTACAGTTATATAACCTATGCAAAAGCATTTAACCGAGGCCAATCCTAGGTACAATTGAGTCCGTAGTCAAGTATGTCATGGGTATTTACTGAGTGGAAAAAGTCTCACTAATTATCCTCCTGCTTGGGCTTATAATGAATAAAAGGCCAGTCTAAAAGCTAGTCCTACCTCAATGGCATATCTAAAAATACTCAGGTATTTGACCCAAGATAACCACTTGCCGACGGAACCTAGATTCACCAAAACACCGCTGAACACCTGGAAAAAAGATCGAAATAATTAAAAATGCATTCATTTATTCGTATAAGTGGTTTGGGGAAGTTTTCGAGGTGGATGACGCAAAAAAACGCAGCAAACCAGCAAGCACTCACCCTTGACCAGGAGAAAACAAAACAACCCCACCCCTCCTTCCCCACCCAACCGCTTTCCATTCCCCTCAGCTTCACCGCCTATTTAGCAATTAGTCCTTGAGCCCGAGGGGGCTATTGACTCATAGGCCATGAGGGCGAGAGGACTAATTGTTTTAGTCAAATCAAACTACTCGGTCAAATTTATAGATGCAAACAAGTTTTGAATTAAAGTTAAATGTAAAGTTTTGGTTTTCAAAGCCGGCACTTTCGCTACTTGTAGGATATAATTTACAGCCTAGTAGTAGCTCATACAATCAGAACGCAGCATTGATGATAGAATTGGCTTAACGCTGTAAGTCTAAACCTACCAATGGTCTATAACAAATCTTGCGCTCTGATTGGCTGAGCTACTAAAAGTTCATTAGTTATAGACCAATAGTAGCGAAAAGAGCCAGTTTTGCCAAAACCAAACATCGCAAAAAATAAATTATTTCAACCTAAATTCAAAACTGTTTGTATCAATTTATTTAACTAATTAGTATGTTTAGACTAAAACAATCAGACCTCTCGTCCTCATGGTAAACGAGTTAATAGCCTATTCGGCCTTCAGCCTCATGGACTATTGACTCATAGACCACGAGGGCAAGCTGTGGGTCTAATATTAAATTGAATGTTTTGTTGAGATATAATAGTCGATCCAGTGATACCACTTACCATCATAAACACGTATGGAAGTGCTATGAGAAGATTAGCGTTGGCGAACGTCAAGACTGAAGCACTAACAAAGAATGACAATCCACATGCGCAGAGAGACGTTAAGACCAGAGTCAGCACAAAAACCACGAACTTTAGCAAAGTTCTCTGAAAACCTGTAAAAATGAATACCCTTTTTATAACATCACGCTGAAGAAAAAATCTTTGTTCCACGCTGGGATAACAGAAAATCCCCTAGCAGTAAATTTTTATGACGGTGGAGTTCCTGTGAATTTGGCGGGAATGTTGGCGCCAAAACGCGCGCGTGTTCATCCACAAGCTTTGGGACTCGGTATGTTACTTGACTTATAATTTCGGGTGGAATTCCTGTGCATTTGGCGGGAATGTTGGCGCCAAACGCGCGCATGTTCGCCCCATAATTCCCCAACTGTGCCACTGCTCCTGTACTTGAGTACTTGAAAAACTAAAGTAATAAAACCAAACTAAACTAAATAACTAAAGTAATTGAAAAACTTTGAAAAGTCGGTGGATGGATGCGATCGACTGGCGACAGCCGTTTTCCTTATATAAAAAATTCCCACTAACGACTAAAGGTCTCTTTAGGTATGACTTCGACAAGGCTAAAGGACATGTTGTTCTCACTATTTATAGCGGTCACGTGATAAACTAGTCTATATCTGTTTTATCGCTCTAAAATAGATAGTTCAAACTACACGAGTACTCTGTCAAAGACGACTTTATTTCGAAAAATAACTAGACCAGCCTAGAAATAAAGGATTTTGTGCCTGGGACACACAGCGAATCAATAACAAGAAATACTTGACTTTAGAATCACAAAAAATAAACTGTCAGCCAAAAATAGCTGCTGTGCACGTCACTGGCCTTCCTGGAGACTTCAGTCTTTATCACTACGCTTACGCTATACTTCATTCAAATACCCTTGGGCAGAGAACAGACACGGACAAACAAGCTAGCGCCCTACTGCGCCCTGCATCTTACCGCCCTCATTGTATCACATACAGGTCATTCACAACCTAAAGATCAGTAAAACAATTTATGTTTCACGAAAACCGTTGCACGTAACAATAGTTAAGTTATAATATCCTTGATTATCTAATAAAGTTTAACAAAATTTTCTTTGCTTAAGACCTCATTATCTTGTTATAATAGTAGTCATTATTGTTGACGACGACACGACAGAACGTTTGCACATGTCCAAATTTTTGGCAGGAAAACTGCAGAAGTTCAAGTCTTTCCCCTTATCACAACTTCCAAACAAAGATTAGCTGTTTTATTTTTAACATTGATACCCATATTAAATGAACAACTAACATATCTCCTATTTTTAGGCTTTTCATGATAACCTAAGGCTAAATGTAACGAAGCTTGTCGTCGGGTTTTCGCATGACTGTGAAAAGCACAGGGCCTTAAGCGTGCCGTGCCGTGATGCTTTCTAGTAGTATTTTATTTGGCTGATTTTTCTCTCTCGCGCAATGTGATTGGTCTGGCAGTGCCGTGAGGTTGCCGTGACCGTATCAGCGCCTTGTTTAAGCCATGTTTCGGGTATTTGATTGGATGGAGAGTAAATTCTCGAGGGATGTGATTGATCTTGCGTATCCCTTGCCGTGTCATGACCGTGTTCGAGCCGAGAGCTTTTAACAGTCATACGTGTAAACTACTCTATAGTTAGTAGCAAGTTTTAAAATCTATCAATTTGTTTTTCATTGAGTTTTCTACGGCCGGTTCAAGCGTTTTTCATTTTTATCAAGTCTTACTGTTTACGCCAGGTTATATTTGTTATCCAAATATCAGTATCGGTTATTGGTGGTTAATTTACCGCTTTCTTAATTCATGTTTCTATAATTAGGTCCGCGGCTTCTTACTACGTACGCTCTGAGGGCGAGGAATCCTCCTTCAACACGCGACCAAGCCGTTATTTTTAGCTAGTTTTTTTCTCTCATAAGTTTACGGTTGACGGATCTACAGACCTCTTTCGATTATGTTGTTGTTGGTTCATGTCCATCAGCAAAATGAAAATAAAAGACGAAACCTTCTCAGACGCTACATCACACCATAGTTAATAATGTATTCAAATGCAGAACTGAACGTTTTAAAAACAGTTTTATACTAAATGGGTCAATATATGGGACAACATATAGCTCTATTTTAGTACTGTAAATATATCTTATCTAAATTCTATGTAATATCACGTTTTTCAAACCGTAAGGTTTGCAAGTTGATAATAAATAAATTGAAATGTTATACTATTTAAGGTGGAACCAAACTAATTCAGAGCGAATTTTGGACAATTTTGTTCTCGCTCGCTTCGCAAAACTATAATGTGCTTGGATTATCCTAGATTCTAACAGTGTATTTTATTTTAAGATTTTTTAAATGTTTAGCCTGTTACGCCCGAAAATCAAACAGCTATTTTTAGTTTTTGGCTTTTTTCTCCTCATCCCCAGATACGATTTTTCTGAAATTTTCAGAATCTTATCATCTAGTACTATTGCAGCCTGTGTATAAATTTGGATGGAAAGTCTTGGGCAGAAAAAAAGTTATGACGCCGCTTGAAAATTCGATCCAAAATTTGAAGCATATGAAACATCGCGCTTTAGAAACATTACCATTGAATGGATTGCCTTGAAGTTTTCACATACCTATTTCCAAGTATTGCGGATGAGCCTTACGAAAAATCAGCATCAAATCTTAAAAACTCATTGAATAAATGTTTTTTTACTAATTGTCGTTGTAAACCTCAAAAATGAGAGTTTTGCTAAAAATCACATTTTCGCCGTTTTCTTAAAAACGGCTCCAAGTTTTTTCTTTAAACTACCTACATCAATAGACCAGAGGTTTATCTAAATGGTAGTGAAATTTTTACAGCTCGTCCTATCTACATTTTGGAGAAAACATTTTTTAAAGTGAGGTGTACCTAAAAATAGCACTGTTTGATTTTCGGCCGTAATAGGCTAAACAATTAAAAAATCTTAAAATAAAATACACGGTTAGAATCTAGGATAAGTAAAGTACATTATATGAAAAATACAGATAAATTGACGCATTTATTTTGCGAAGCGAGCGAGAATAAAATTGTCCAAAATTCGCTCTGAATTAGTTTGGTTCCACCTTAACACGAAAATAAAAAAGAAATCACACTTTTCTTGGAAGGAATGTTTGCCACTCCTCTTTTAATTTGCTGTTTGTCTCGCATCTAAGATAAGTAAAGAAGGTTTTCATAATTGCGTTGCCAACCAAAGGCTAATAAGAGCACCTTACCTATCATGAAATAGACAATAGCCGAGAATGCCGCGGTAGGAAACAGCCTCATTGGGATAATGTCACAAAGGACCTTGGCCAGGAAGTATACCGATACGCGGTAGTAGCCGCCAGCAGATTCATGTCTGTGATGATAATGTAAACATGAGGGCATAATAATGGTTCTACGTGCTACAGTGCTTTCTACAGCTGGCAAGGCACGCATGCGAATGAATTGGACGCGTTTGCATAATGGCGTCATTTGACGCCCACTACCATAATGCTTCGCGAATTTTTTTCTCATTGAAATTTGTATTCCCTCATGACAATAGTAAGACAATTGGTGCTAATTAACTGAACATAAGAAAGTATGCAAGGGAGTCTGGTAGCAGAGGTCAATGACGCCATCATGCAAACGTCCTATTCAAAACGTCCGAAATAGGAGATCCAGAACAAGAGGGGAAATCCTAGTGAGTGGATTGCAGATTACATTTCTTGAAATTCAGAGAAAGTAGGAAGGAGAAAGATAGAGATAGATGAAGGAAAATCAATTGCTTGCTTTTAAAACTGTCTGTATATCTCCCCCCCCCCCCCCCCCCCCCACTGCCCCGGCAAATAATCTAAAGAAGCTTAAGTTGTCCTTCAGCAGCATCATACAAGCGTAATACAGGTTTTTTAAACAATGCCTTTACAGCTGTAGATATTTAAATTGTCTAAGGTTTTACCATCTACGGCCTCGTCAGAGATGACATGGATGGCTGCGAGGGAGACTAAGGGCTAGGACCGACCCCGTGTCATTTCCTTAAATTAATATTTCCTCTCATGCATCTAGTCAAATATTACTGTTGAAAAAGAAAACAATACTCAAGGGGATAACTCACATGAATATCTTTCGTTCTTTAATAAACAGTTCTACGGCCGACAGGTTACCAAACACCATGTTCATAATTATGAAGAAAAACGAACCAACCCTAGAACGATAATAATATAGACAGATGAATTGTTAAGTTTCAAAATAATCAGCCAGCTTCTGCGGTTAACACTTGACATTTGCTTTGTTGGCCTGGTTTTAGAAATGGCGTCATTTACTACCAATACCAGAATGCTTCGAGATTTAAAAAAAAAAAAAAAAATTCCCACAATTTTTCGAGTAATCCAGTACCGCTCGAAAGCTGGATTTTCATTGCTCCCTAAGTATAGTACCGCTTTTGTAAGGTTAGGTTTAGTGCTATTGTTTGGATGACCAATCTATTGTTTTTTAATCCAATCATGTAACTCGTTCCGAGCGGTACGGGCTGGCTCAATTTTTCTCTCGTGGAATAATATAAGACAATAAACCTGTTTTGCATTCTATGCATACCGCTGTCTTTGAAAATCACAGGCTCATTTGCACAGGCTTAGCCTCCTTTGTAAAAGACGAGGGGCTGGCGTGCATTCTGTACAGAATAAAGGTCTTAGAATGGAGGCATTTAACCCGTGAAATAAAAAATGCTAGTCAACGTGTAACAGTCAAATAGACACAAAAGAAAACAATGGAATTAGGGTCTACTAAAGTGTATTAGTCTAATATCTGTTTCACGGGTTTAATGACTTCACTCTACCCTTCATTTTATAAGATAGTTTTGAAGCAAATAGTCTGACAGTAGCCAGGTTTAGTTGTAGGGGACAAACGTCCATAATATATAGGGCGGACATAAATCCTAACCCCGATCAGGTAATGAATGGTCTGACCACTTTATAATATATCAAGTAGAGCTATGCGTGGAGCCATGATATAAAAGAACTCACCTATTTTGGAGTCCATTTGGTCCTTTCTTCTGGTCGTAGTAGATAGCACCCACAATAGTACCAAAAAGAACTGTAATAATCAGCTACGAGAGAATCAAATTCACAGTTTTTTAGCGTAATGGCGGTGACAAGGGAGTCAAAAGGAAGCGGGTGTTTCATATCCCAGGGGAGAGAAAGAGTCTCGCTTCGTTGGCCGGTTTTTCACTTTACAAAATGCCTGGGAAATACAAGGCGATTTTATCCAGCGGGTAAGCACTATTTCCCGCCCGGGTTTTAACCCTAGCAATTAAACTCGCTGGGAAAATTTTTACGAAAAGTAATTGTATTGGTTGCACAATAAAGGGTGGCGTAGCGGCAGAGTACTAGGCTCTCCTCTCACCTCGGCATCACATGTGAGTAGAGGGTTTTTCTCCGGGTTCTCCGGTTTTCCTCCCTCAGCAAAAATCTAACGCGCAAGAACTCCATTCGATCTGCTAGACAGTTGTGCCCGGCCTTTGATCAGCCACTGAAGAGGTTGTAGCAGGGTATCGACTATGAAATTGGTAACACACAACAGGCAGAACGAAGCCTGGGAGTGGATGAACAAACAATTAATCGTGAGATAAAACAAAGAACGCAGCTCACATGTGGAACAATACACATTGTTCACCATAATCCATGCTTTCTTTGTTTTTGTTATTTTGCCCAATCCAAAGCTTCGTTCTACCAGTGGACACCGACCCGCTATAGGGGATGAAGTCAAGGACTACTGAGATGGTCACTACGAGATGATGTCATAACATAACAAGACAATTCTATAAATCCTTTGACTCTATTAGGTTGACGAGAGATTAATGGCGCCATTACGCGCAGCAATTTCTCTGCAACTTGTCTGGCACGAGTGTTTTCACTGTGCAACGGAGATTTTTTCTCAAATTGCGCTGTAGGTTACACACTACAATGCTCCATGCAACTTGTGTCGCAATACCTTTGCAAGACAACTTTGAAATTGCTCCGTGTAATCGCGCCTTAAAGATTTACGCAAGAGCTGTTTGGAATATTACGTAGAAAGCTGAGAGAAAGTGAAAAACAACTTTAGGTTATATGACGTATATGAAGACCTCTCATTGAACTGATGATAGAGTGTTGACTGCGATAGATGATGGTTGGATGAACCATAATTAATGGAGCTCCATTAACTATGGATGAACGATTATTGACAAATGTGACATTATATAGTGAGAGATTTATTTACCATTACTAGATACTTTGTAGGATTAACAATAAAACCGCTTTATTTGTTTGTTCACTTAAAACGATCATTTAAGAGGTTGATTAGAATAGATAAAAAGTATGGTAATTGAAGTTAAGAATTTCACAATTTGCACGCCACGCTCGTCGTCACAAGAAGTTCAGTTAAACACATTGGCCGTTTGTATTTTCGAAGTCAGTCCTTGCTGATTCCCGTCTCTGTTAATTATGACTAAATATTCTTCTATTCATAGCTCTTTCAGTGTTTTTAGTCTCGTCAGTGTTGGCCATTTTAGACACACACCTGCAAGTTTTCAATCTCATTTACTCCATCAAATGTTTTAAACGATTTTGATCCTGCGAAATCTTTCAAACATTCTACTATCTTCTAAAGTCGGTGATAAAACCACAAAGCCGGCCAACTGCACGGTTTACGCAGTAGAGGGCTAAGCTATAGCAAAACAGGATGATCAGTTTTGCACATATTTTATAATGTACGTGATCTAGAAAGAAAACAACCTGGAATCGCTACGGTTACAGTGGCTTTACACAGAAGTTTGTAAACATAACCTTTTTTCTATAAAGATGATTGCTACTTTGTTGTGTTGTCGTTGCAAAAGCAAAGAAAAAGGTTAATAAATAATGGTACAAAAATCTAGCCAACAGAGACGATGCCACTAGAAACCAAGAAACTCGATATCGTTATCAGCGACTGTCAACTCTGTCAAGCACAGAAGACAATCTAATTAAAACAGTTCACATAACTCGACATTTTAATAAACTCGTTAAAGGCACAGGGGATGCGAAGAACTTGCTAGACTTGGCTGAGAGACAGGACAAGACATTCCAAGCAATCAGATATTGCAAGTGAAAATAGAATAAACTGTGTTAATCAGACCTTGTGCTGATCAGTGCGGAACATCAACTGACAGTACTACATGCCGCACATCATGCATGTGAACTTGCGTTCTTTGCTCCGGAAAAGGGAGTAAAATAGTTTTTTTATTTTAAAAGAATTAAAAACTTTTTAAGAACCTTTGCCTTGATCTTAATGTTAATTTAGTTTTTCATTCTTTTAAAATCAAATAAACTATTTTGCTTTAAAGTTCCTATCCCAGATGCTCTCAAAAGGGAGTAAGATTTAAAAATTCTGGTAGCACCGTGCTACCCGGAATTTAAAATCTTACTCCCTTTTTCGGGAGTACCGGCTACAGTAGTATTTCGAACACAGAGGCAGTACAATTAATCCATTCTATTGCCATAATATGGGGTGCACAAAAATAAAGGACAAAATAAAACAACGTCAAAAATAATGTCGCAAACAAAAACTTTTTGGGAACAAAACACCACGAATAGCCTTTCTTTTTGCCATAAACATCAAAGTTTGAAATGGAAATCCTCAACACATCCCGACCTTTCCCCCTCAGCTTCACTACGTCATCCATCTCCATGGTAACAGACTAGACATTTATAAATCAAAGTGTCCAGCTATAGTTGCAGTCAGTACAGGATTTGTCGCAGCCGTGAAAAGAGATTCAGAATTTGTACGATCAATACTGCCATGTGGAAATTTCTTTGTGTAGTTCTGATGGTGCTGGTGTCTCAGGGGACGAATGCGAAGGTCTTCTGGGAGACAGAGGAGATCGCAGAAAACTGTAAGTTAATCTCTAGCTATTCAGTGTTTCATAATGTGGAACGTCGCTTCAAGTTTCTGTCTTTCAAGCAGAAACGTATCAAAATCGGCCGAATGAGTCCTTCCTGTAGAGAAAGTACAACAAGTCGTGTCTTCTGTTCGAGTCAACGACCCCGTTTGACGCATTTCATTTTGAAGCTCCTTTATTTGAAGTAGTCAGAATGCGATTTAAAGAGACCCAGACATATCAAATATCAAATATACATTAGTTTTCCTCGGTCAAATGTTAAAAAAAAAATCGGGAACGCCGTTACGTAAACAAGCTTTCGAAAACGGGGAACACGGGCGGTCAAGCGCTTCTGGTAGAAACTGGAAGAAAATGAAAAATTAAATTCTCAAGTTTTGAGGTGATTTTATTGGTTGGGACTATAAGTAATTTACCGCCCCTTGGTATCTAGATAACATGTAGCAGGGATCGTATCATAAAGTGTACCAAAAGGAAAATATTGATAAATATAGACCACTTAATAACGTTATGTAATGACTTTATTAATGAGGACATGTTCACTCTTTATCAAACACCTATCATTTTGCGGAAATAAATAATTAGCTGATATTGTAAGAATGTTACCACGAATGTGTAATTCAACTTGAAGCAATAATGTATTGTATTCCTAGATGTAGATAAGTACAAATTTGAATTGCCATCATATTAATGTAATGTCACCCAAGATAACAAGGAATTGGAAATATTTCCTCTTACTAGTCTATAGAAGGTTCCAGAAGATCTTCCAACACTGAAGATATCATTGATTGTTCGTGTATATTTAGTAACACAATGATGACACACAATTAATCGATTTGATGAGATGCAAACGCTTCATTTCGCTCAAATAGGTGTCCAACAAAAGACTGAAAATGTTCTTGTTTGTGTTTGTTTGAGCATTCGATATCGATTAGTAGCTGGAGTCCAGCATAGGATCAAGGTGGTGAGTGATGCTGGCAAAGCCTCCTTGTTGTTGTTCGATAAATTTTTCCAGTACGATATATTCCTAGTATAGCGGTCAGTTATTTAAAAGTCCCGACTTACTCATGCCTATGGAATGGGCATTGTATTAATATTGTACCATAGGGCACGGAACATCAGAAATCCAGTTCCCCAGCCCAGTTTCCCGTTAACAGAAGAATCAACGCATATAAAAACGTTTTTTACTATTTTTTTCTTATTGCTACTGAGTTTTTTTTAAATCGACTCCTCGTGTTCAGAGCATTTTATATTCATTCCAATTTCACTTTCCCATCCAGTTTCTACCATAAGTAAACTTGAGAAACGATAAATTTTTTCGGAGAAGAAACAAAAACAGCTAAGTGAACGATGTTAATATATGAGATGTTAGAAGTTCTCGACTATTCAATGCAAGTTACGTTCATGCTGCACAAAAGGCACACAGAGGAAGGGGAAGGAACTACGTTAGATAAACAGTGAGGGAACTACCACTTTTTTAACCACAATCTCCACTCAAATGGACCGCAAAGTAGGCGGTCAAGACTGTGCACAACGGGGATTTTAGGTTGGGCACGCCTACAATGGCTATAGATACATCCGTGCATACTTAAAAATAGAACTTGAAGCAACCGTAGTCTAATGAAATCCGGTTTTCTATTCCTTTCACTTTTTAACCACAACTTCCACTTAAAATCTTTTAATGGACTGCAAAGTAGGCGGCCAACACTGTGCACAACGGAGTTTTTTGGCCGGCATACCTGCAATGGCTAAAGATACATCCATAGCTGAATACTTGAGAATAGAACTTGAAACAACTGTAGGACTCAGTTCTTGATTATCGTTTCTCTCTCCTGTGCTTCGAAACTTCGAAAAGGTTTTTCTTCCTTCGTAATAACTGGAAACTTTCTTTAAATTCTTACTGAATTCTTACTGGATTGACACTCCTAAATCTGCTTTGCCGGACTCTTTATATGATTAGGAGAAATATATAATAGAAGGGAAAAAAAGACAACTAAAAATCAACTGATATGTGGATTGAATTCATAAATCAATTGGACCGTAGACACCCGTTATCTAACCTTTAACGGGGGCGGATATAGGGGTGGTTCGGGGGATTCGTGCCAACCCATTTTACGAACCCCTAAATGAGAAATACGAATCTCCTTTTAGACCATCTTGATTATATTGAAAACCCTAAAAGACAACAACTAACGATATAGGATAAAGTAGTATGTCAGGAATGGCCTTGTTTCATCCATCAATTGAAAAACGGTTTTGAATGACCGAGAAATTCTACAAACTTTCTAAATCGCGGCGGAATCATTCGCCAAGTTTGCACTTATTTGTCGTCCCGGTATCCTTTAGAGCAGCTTTATGTACGAGTTTATTAAGCAAAGGAAAAGGAACAACAACAATTGCAGTAGGAACATAGTAAAAGTTTAAGAGACGTCAAACTTATTTCGTTTTTCGGGCAAAACCCAATAATGACATAAAAGAGGGCAGATGCCCTATTTTCATTCTCTGTCCAGACCTATACAAATGCTACATTCAATGTGTACAGCACACAACACTCAAATGTTGTTTTCTGACGAGAGAGATAGAACCTCGCTGAGAACGATGTGATGAAAGAAGGAAGAGACAACCCATCAAATAGAAAAGAGACCCTGGAATGGACCAGAAAACCTATTGTAAATCTGAGCAACTCAATTCCAACATATGATATGTCAGTAACCTAAACCAGACGTGAAATACGTACCTGCACTCTAGAAATGACTTCCTAAGAACAACCTAGAAGCTGAATTGGACGGACCTCATTGTATACCATCAATAAAAGCAATTCCAAACAAAAAATCCTCTCAATGTCGGTTACAAGCCAAACTTGTTAGAAAGAGATTGGTATCCAAATATTCTATATAGGCGAAGTACTCGTAGACTCATTTAGATCATTACGATAGATAGCAAATGTGTATCTAAATGTTCGAAATATGTAGGCAAGCTGAGGTGTCTGGTAATACAAGGTCCTGCTTTTTTGCTAAAACGTTTTCGCCAAGAAAATTCATAGGAAACTATTAGCTGAATTTCATCCCTTGTCAAGTTTGGCGCACGACTAGACTGAAGCAATTTTGGGGTTTTCGTGAAAGGTTCTTAGTGAAATTTGCCTCGCAAAGCTGTTGCATCTTGAAGGAAGCCCGTTACATCAGAAAGAAGACCGAACAGATAACAACGGAAGTAGCTCAAACATTCGTAGAGATGAGTGGAGAATTAAATCAATTGACATAATAATTTAAAAATCAAGATCCATTGCATTGTGATATATATACGATGAAAGAATTTCGATTTAAACCACTTTGCTGCCAATTTAACTTCAAGGAAATAAGAACGGCGATATGCCAATCATAATTTAATGTCTAGCGAGAGAGCCCTAACAGTTAAGGTCATAAGTTCTGAGATAGGCTCTATATGTATGTTGGTAACATAATCTTATATTGAGGTTATTGACCGAACCGCGATCGAAGCCCAAATCATGGACGGAATATCAAACGAGTGAATACTACAATAGGTTTCTTTTTCACATCGTCACGTGACATAATAGATTCCGGCAATGGCAGAAGGCCCGCTTACACTTGCATTGTATTGACCCGCCAATAAATATTTGACTGTAGACTTCCATGTAATATATGTAATAGAGGCTTTGCACCATCACGTGATGGCAGCCATTAGAGAGGAGAGAGGAACAAGGTGACAGGAACAATTGAATTTGTTCTTTTTTGGCTGAAAGACTATTGCCTCTTGTCTTGATCTCCCTCACGTAATGTTGAAAAGCCTCTGACTTCTATTTAAACGAGAAAAGTTCGAAAGTAACCCGAGTTCCAGGCCCCAGGGGAGGGGGTGGGAGGTTTGAAAGTGGAAATGTATTCACCAAAAAAAGCTGACAAAGTGCCGTCGTCGTCGTCGCCGGAAAAAAATAACGAAGTCGACTTATTGCTGGTCAATTCCTCGCCTCCACCACCTAGTATCCCTTTCTTGCCTGAGACACAAGACTGTATTTTCTCAACCACCACAGAATGAAATCAAATTGGTTATCCTAAATATATTCTTTTATGCTAGATTTGCAGAGAGTTCCACCCATTAAAGCCACTGCAGAGAAGATGATGAGGTACCTCTTTGGGCGCACAACCTCGCATATTGTAAAGCGCTCAGCCCCAAGACCTGACGATGTGTTGATTGTCATCGACTCCTCCAAATCTATTCCAGAGTCGAACTTTACTCGGTGTCTCTACGCCCTGCAGGGGATGATAGAACGCTTCAAGCCTGACGCTCGTTTTGCTTCCATTCTTTTCTCTACCAAAGCCGAAGTCATGTTCAAATTTCTACCGGCTAAAAAGGCAATGGAAAAGTTGTTGACGATTCGCTACAACGGCGGGTTCACCAACACCCAAGACGCTCTCAAGAAATCCGGAAGGCTTTTTGTGAGCAGGACCTCGGGCGGTAGACGCAACGCATACAAGAAGATGTTCATCTTAACAGACGGCCAGTCCAACATCAAGAAAGAAAGGACATTGTACCTAGCATATGTTCTGAAGGAGCTTGGGATCGAGATCTACGTCATGGCTGTGGGAGAACGCATCGAAGGGATCAATGAACTCGGAATGCTGGCGACCTCGACAGACAAGCACTTGTACCGTGTTGGAGAGATGGACCAGTTTATGCAAGTGGTGCAGGAGATACCGAAGGATCCCTACTATGAAAAGAATGATGGTATCTGAAGTGCATGTAGAAGCCTAACAAAATAACCTACATTTTATATATCTTCAGAAGTAGCCTATCGCATGAAAGGAAAGCTCTAGTTGTATTACTTTATCATTTCACAATTGAAGTCACTCGACTTAGACATTTTGTTGTTCCATTGCAATTTGATTATAGTCGACTTTTAATTTTTTTTTCACTATTCAACGCTTATAGACAGTAGCATGGAGTACTAAGTCAAAATCAAGTCAAGCATATTAAGAGAAAAGTTATTCCTAGATTAGAGTCTTGTACTGTTTTCTACCACTYGTAGGCGTGAACGCATTAGTTGTTGGCAAGAGGCAGCTGGCTTATGTGTGCGAGTCACTCCAAGTGTGGTTAAGTAAACTGAATGAAAAAGCATGTTAATCTGAATTGGACAATTGTTCTTCTAGTGGATGGTATATTTAGAGAAGAGTGCAGGGAAGAATACTCGAAATCAACTTTTTCAACAATGGTATTGGTAGCAATCGGCCTAGTCGAGCTATCATGTTGGCAAACTGTTGTTTTTACGCCCTTTTTTTAGTACAAACCTGGGATAGTTTTTAGGGAAAGTCTAATAATTTCAGTGTTAATTTGCCGTGCCCTTTCACAATCATGATAAATCTGCCCTAAAAGACATTTTTACCGATTCGGCGGCCATCTTGAATTCTATTGTTTTGTCAGGGTGTCTTTTTTTACAAAACTTTACGCTTTTCAATGAGAAGCACATYCAAGAAGTATTTGAATTTGCTTTATAAATTTTGTACGTTAGCTCCCTGTACATCCCATAATTCAAGATGGCTGCCGTATCAGTAGAAAGGTCTATTCCTAAGAATATCGATGATAAAATTGCAAAGGTCTTATAGTATATATGAATTTATATCTTTAAAGTCAATAGCAGAATTAAAATGCAAGTTAAAAGCTTGGAAAATTGGGATAGTAGATAGAAACGTCAGCCACATCAAACAGTCCTTCTCAGGACTACATCCACCCGGATGATCATAATACTTCGATTAATATTCATTCACCTGGGTTCAGACTGTTCTATACAATAGTAGTCTTACCTGCATAATAGATGTCTGTGGATTCCGTAGGAGGTTTTTTACTGCGCGACCAGAGACATGATATAACTATAACAGAACATAAAAAGATAGTTGGAAGACAAGGAGAACAATATTCCTGTAGAAAGTGCAGCATACCAAATAAATGCATGAGTTTGGGAACGAAAAACTTAAATAATCGTAAATATCATGATTTGGTTGAATGTGATTCGGCCTAAGTATTATTGAAGGTAGTCATTTCTTTTGTTCACCTTGGAATCCATCTTCTTTTCCTTACATTTGTATTCATTAGTTTAATTCTCTTATAATATGAGAAATGGGACAAACAAACGAACGAACGAACGAACGAACGAACGGACGGACGGACGGACGGACGGACGGACGGACAGACGAACGAACAAGTTAAAAAAAATGTTATACCTGCGTAACAAAACCCGTTGCATACTTGACTTCTTCAACATCCTTGAACCCCACGGACGTTTCTATAAACTCTCTATAGATTGGTTGGATAGCACTCTGAATATGGGTAAAGTACCTGGATTTACGGTAGGATTCTGCCATATCATAGTTCTTATTCGCTCTGGGTGAACCTTGGTTTATAGCATGTGCGCCTTCTACATCTAGGATCAACAATAAACGGCATTAACCTCTTTTATAACATACTTGTATTTAAATCGGCCAATTAGAATGCAGGAAAGCCGTTGTATAGACCCCACTGAGTCGCGAGAGGAATTGTTCTGGGGGACAAAACGATAGGCCATCTCTTTTTATGAACAATTCCTCTCGGGACTCAGTGGGGTCTATATTCAGCGGTAGTCTACTTTTCGTTCCCTTCAGGCATTGCGACCTATCAATGTGGGATAAAATAGCTATGAAATGTTTTCTCGTGACACATCATTTGTCGCTTGTATTTTTGTGTGCATTCGCTCGCTTGAAGGCTCTTATACTAGGAAATACACTCAAAGCTTTTGTGTTATTAATTACTAAAAACCTTTGGCAGGGAACAAATTAGCATCAAAGTCCCTTATTTGACGACCATTCAACAATGAGATTAGTTCAGCTCATGGCTTAGCTCAGTTGGTAAGAGCGTCGGTCTGCTGTGCAGGAGGTCGTAGTTCGAGCCTCGGCCGGACCAACATTCAGGATTTTAAAGTAACTGAGAAGAAGGGTGCTGCTAGCCCCCTACGCAGACGCTCTTAGTGCCTGTCACGCAACGTTGCGTGACACACAAAGAACTTCTGCAAAGGAGGCTAGGGTGCTGCCTTTCGATAATTACATCTGCAAATGGTTGGACCTTCAAGTGGGTCGGATAATGACCATATTAATGGCGGTCCTTTCCCTATTCAACTAGAGACGTTAAAAGAGGACCACGAGTTCATCAGTTGAATTACTGCCAAGTGTGATTCTCTACAAACAAAGTTGATTTGTTTCGATTCAGATGTTATTATCACATGCACACGACAAATACAGCTAGCAGAGAAGAACAGAGAGGACAGAGAAATAATCGACCTCTTACCAGATGAATTGATTGGGTTTGAAGGATAATGTAATTCTTTCTCGTGGATAACATCCATGAAAAAATCAGGTGGATTGTTGTGCTCTTCACAAGCATAACCTGTCAATAAACACACGACAAAGATTAGATCACAACCCGAACTTTTATACAGGGTAAAATAAATGCTCCTTGATTTAACAGGGTAACACTTTAAAATAGCCAATGGCTAATTATCCCAATCGTTCCATGACATAATTGGAATTAAGCTGGTTTTCGCGGTGTGGGACTAAAAACAAAATTGCCTACAGAAAAACACTCTTTTCAGATTGAGTGCAAAGTTTCCCATTTCGGAAGTTGACGGTCACGGATTTATCAGAATTGAGAAAATAAAGTCTCCAATTTTTAACGAACCTTAAAATAACTTCTGAGTTCATCAGTCTGGACACAGATAACTCACAGAGGACTAGCAAATGAATTTAGCGTGTTAGGTTTTGCAGAGGCAGGAAAACCAGAGAATCTGGAGAAAAACCCATAAATCAAGGGAAAGACCCAACTTTGTTCACAAGTGATTCTGAGTCCAGTGATTCAACCCCAGACCCCAGAGGTGAGAGCCGGCGAGGACGACAACGCTGCACAAGGATATATATTCCTACAAGAAGAGAACTTTTTTCCTTAGGGGATGGCACGTAGTAGAAATGGGAAAACGTCACGCCCCAAAAACTGTACCGGTCTATTGTATTTGTCTGCAACAAGAAAGAAAATTAAAATCAAACTCACCAATGCTTTCAAAATACTGCAGAGCATCAGCTCTTGGTCCTTGATAGACTATTTCACCTTGAGATAGCATGGTCATCGTGTCGAACAGCTTATAAATGGAATAACGAGGTTGATGAATCGAGAAGATCACTGTTTTACCCCTCTCTCCTAGACTAGGAAAATAATAATAAAACGGCTTAAGATTAAAAAAATAGAGTTGCTTGCTGCGCACGGTGGAAAAGGCTTGAATGCCCTCCTATGGGGTCGCGGAACATTAGCCCTTCTCTCATTGATGACTTAAGGTTGCTTTCCCTTTAAACTGATAAAGCTTCATAAAGTGAACTGACAGGCTCCTTCAGCATTTCTCTATCTGCCTGCCTGTCTGTGAAATCCAAGCTGACTTACGCGTGCAGTAACTGCATAACAGAACACGCCGTAGAAGCATCAAGACCTGTAGTAGGCTCATCAAGAAACAACACCGATGGTGACGTAATAAGCTCCATCCCAATGCTTGTTCGTTTCCTTTCTCCTCCAGATACACCTCGTATGAACTCCGTACCAACCTTCTGATCAGCCACGCCCATAATTCCCAGGTCGACCAGGATCTCATTAACTCTTTCTTTTCTTTCTTGTTTGGAAAGAGATTTGGGGAGACGAAGAGCTGCAGAGAAACTCAAGTTCTCACGGACAGTCAGTGTTCCCATGATGACGTCATCCTACAGCCAATAATAGGCGGATTAGTGTTCACGTGTCTATCTCCATGACAATTTTTTTAGAGCGCAGTTTCATATTGCTGTAATGGTAGATCTCTCAAAAGAGACTCAAGGAGCGCTCGGGAGTGATTCCACGGACAGAAGAGAACAAACAAGAAAATCTACTCACATATGATAGTGGGACCGAAAAGCGATCACACAACCAAAGTGGTTGCGACGTCAAAACAGCTCATTTTGGAGTGAAAGGAAAAAGAATTTTAATCTCCTGAGAAAAGACTAGTTTCGAGTTCCAAATTAACGATGTGTTTCTCGATTACAGCAGACTCATTTACACAGGCTTAGCCTCGATTTTGTGCAGAATGTTTACCTGTTCCAGTCAATGTCCGTCAAGTTTCAAAGTGTTCATATTGTTAAAGTTGTACATTCTTTACTTTACGGTTGGTATTCGTGGATATTTAAACACTGATACGAGGCTAACCCTGTGTAAATGAGTCTGTAATCAAGGAACACAACGGTAATTGGAAGCCTATTAATATGTCCTCCAAACTGAGCTGCATTCTAACGTACTGCAAGGGGTATATTGGTGGATGTGGTAAAGTAACATCCACGATCAGTATTCTCGTCACTGTACCTTATTGGTGGCATGAATCTCAGAATTTTTTATTGTTATCAAACAAAGGAGGAAAAAGTCTGAATGGGAGGTCTGCTGGGAAAAGTAATCAAACTATATGATTCTAACATGGTTTTACCTGTACAACATAGCCTGTAGCACATTTGAAATTGTTTGGTTGGAGCTTTCCATTGACAAGCACAGTCCCGGAGAGGTTACGTTTGTCTTTACGACCCGCCAGGATGTCTAAGAGTCTGGAACAGAACAAAATAGTGAAACAAATAGTCTGTGTTCTGGGGATGGTACATGGGGATGGTACATGGGGATTGTACATGGGGATGGTACATAGGGATGAAATTAGAGGAGCCAGAAAAGCATAATAACCCCCATGGGGTTTATTTTAGAGATTAAAAATTAAAGTACAGCAGATTTTTTTGTCACCTGTTGTTATCTTAAACCTAGCGTTTACGAACACAAGTGAAGAAGAGAAAAGACACATACCAAGTTTCCCATATGCTTTGTGCTAGAGATTTCATTCTCGGGCACACACGCTCAGGAGGTTATTTTGAAACTTTGGCTTCCACATTCCTATTCAAAACTTCTTCTTGGTGCTCAAAGCCTGGTTTTCACTAGTGATGCATTATTTCGTGAAAACAAGCTCAACACAAACACACTGAACAGTGGCAGATCCAGGGGTGGTTCTGTGGCTTCCATGGAAACCCCTTTTTGTGAGATCTTGTGAAGCAAATAATGTTCTTTACCCATGCAGTCAGTATAATGAAATTGGAATCCCACTTTTGTGAAGCCAATCTTACTAGCTTTCTCTGTGTGGCTCCCATTTTGGAATCCCCCCTTTTAAAATCCTGGATCCGCCACTGCTGAAGAACAAAATAACATATTCCCATTCAAAACTTCTCCTTGGTGCTTGAAGCCTGGTTTTCACTCACAAGATTCCTTCAGTTATTTCCTTGCAAAAAGAAGCTTGACACAAAAACACTGAAGAACAAACACCAGCATCAAAATGTTTTCTCATTTGCGCTTCTGTCATTAGTGAAAGCAAGGCTTAAAGCCTCCTAACTGTGCATGACAGTGTAGGTTTACAGCAAAGCTCAAGTAACAGGTAGAGCCAGTTAGAGTCAGTATCTTGGGTCTAAATTCCATTATTTACCAATATAGGCTCTAACCCCTGAAGTTCATAAGTCTTCAATAAAACTCACGCAAAAGGGAATATGTCCCAAAACTCAAAATACTGATCATGACCTGATGTGATTTTTAGTAAGCATACACACCGGCACCGTGCCGTGCACAATGGTTTTTACACCCGGGTGTCGAAATCTGCTCTAACTTACCTGTAGTTACAAATGATGCTCTTGATCACCTTGGATTCAAGGAGGAAAAGAGGAAAGGGCAGAAAAAAAAAACATAACTATTTTCATCCCACGGGGATAACTTGGTTATGCTGATCTCCTATATTAAGTGTGACTGATTTTTAGCCAAGCACAATAACATCATTTCCTGAAGTTATGTGCAATAACAAGAAAATATAACCTACGTAGTTTTGCCACTGCCAGTTGGTCCAAGAATAGCATTAGCACCTGGATTCATAATACCACTGAAATAAAAATAATAATTAATATATATCTTTGAACATTAAAATCATGTATTAAGTTATCTGATATAAGACTATTATTTCCTTCATAATATACATGAAATTTTGTTTACTCAATTCAGATTGGCTGAGAGCAGTGCTGTTAACTGATCGATAACTAGTTTTCTTTTTTCATCAGGATTGGGTTTCGGTGTTAATATCATATAGGGACCTAGAGTCCTAATGTATTATCACCTGCCCTTGGGTGATATCATAAACACAGCAGAAAAAAAAAGTAATTTGCCCTGCAGTGCAAATTTTAAAAAATATTTGTAAATTTTTCATGCATATCATTAATGAGTTTGGTAATCATATGGTTTCTCATTTAATTTGGAATTGATTTCCACTCAATAAATATTATTAAAGGGTCACTTGGATGTAAATGAAAATGCCGCAAAAATTGGTTAAACTTATTTAAATAAGCCCCAATAGTAGCCAAGCGAGATTTTTTCTTTACTGTCAAAATTATGAATCATTGTAACACCTAATAAAATTGTGAGTACTCAACCCTAGGATTCAGTCCTTTTAGCTTTTAAACCAAATTTTTTTTAAATGGTAATAATTTATAACATGCTTAAAATGCAGAGAATTAAGAACAAAATTACAGAGTTTGTATGGAAGAAAATTGGAGTTTCCAGGGGTACTGTGGGGATGTCTTTGAAATAATTCCTCCATGTGGGGGCTGAGTATGGATAATTTCTGGAACTACACATTATTAAAAATAAATATATGTGAAAGAGAAAGAATAAATAAAACCTAATGAAATTCTTATACCTCATCTTTTTTATTATTTCCTTGTCAATTTTCTGTCCTTCAACCTTTACTCCTTTGACAGTATAGCATATGTCATGGTAGGTAATAACAGAACTGGTTTCAATGAAGGTTTCATTTTTTCCATGTAGGGCCATATTGGATGGAGATGTATTTCCATATAAGAAGGGAGTGTTTTCCTCATCCATTTTCCTAAAATTTAGAGCCAAATATTAAATAGAATTATTTAACATCATATTATGAATTATATACTGTAAATTGAAAGCCAATGATCATTTAAGATTGAAATGGGAAGCACAGGTGGCATGCACTGCTATAATGCACTGCCTCTCATCAATTAATGCGACCTGGTTCGAGTCCTGCCGGTCTTGGTCTTGGTTTTGTCATGAAGAGTTGTTTGTTGGTTCTCTCCTGTGCTTTAAGGATTTTTCCTCCAGGTTCTCCAGTTTTTCCTCCTCCACAAAATTCAACTTCTATATTTCTAATTTCATTTTGGGTTGCAAGACCTGTTAGGCATTTTGCCATCCATCCAGGAATGGTAAATGCATTAGACGTTGTAGTCTAGATATAAGGGACAGGTCAAAAATTATAGGGGGGGGGGGGGGCTAGTGCAAATGGTGAAAGGGTCATTTTTTTCATGCAGGCTAAAAGGAAGGGCCAGAAAGAATTGTGCAAGTCTTAAGGGGAGGGCCAAACTTTTTTGTGCATAAAAATTAGGTCAAAAGAAATGTAAAAAATGAATTATGCTGTCACTGGATGAAGCTGATAGGTGCRTTAAGAGCTATCTARAACACTTAAAATTGCTTGAACTGAAGAAAGAAAAAAGAAATGAAGACAAAGCTGAAAAAAAAATCTGCAGAGTCAAGAAAAAAATACAGAGACTACAACTGGATTGCTATGCTTGATGATGGCTCTAAGCAAACAAACTGTAGCTGTTCCTAGATAAATATTTAAAGTTTAATCAACTGCAGCAGCGTGGTAAAAAGGTTAAACTAAATACAGTTCAGATGCATATAACACACGCTCTGCATGCAGTGGAACAAAATAGACGGGACAACTACAGAGAGCCTGGCAGTGACACTGACACTGATGGGAGTGCAGAATCTGGATTATCTTCTGATGAGGATTGTGAGGAAGAACAAAATATTGGCTGAACTTTGACAATGATGAAGAAGAAAAAAGTGCATGGTGACGAATATTACACAGAAGAGTTTGATAGTAGAATGACAACTACTGTGACAACAAGATCGGGAAGACGTGCAACTCGTTTACTGCTATATTAAGAGCAAGGTCAGCCTAAATCATAACTTATGGGGGAGGGGAGGGCCAGAAAAAAATGTGCAAGTATTTAGGGGAGGGCCAATTTTTTTATATAAAGAGAGGGCCACTAAAAAATATACAGACCAAAAATAAAATGCACCAGCCCCCCCCCCCCTCTAATTTTTGACCTGTCCCTAATGCTTCGTATTTAACCAGTGAACCGATGTAAGGAAAATAAATGGTGAATAATTTAAGATTATTGATTCATTTGCATATATATTTGCAAATGAAGCTAAAATATAAATAGCTGCTGCAAAGCTTCACAGGGAACATATATACGTGTATCCACTTTAACACAATCACCTAAGATATCGAGGACTTTATGGCTTTGTCTTTTATAGCCTTTATGCACGAAAAAAATCAAGTTCAAATCTGAAAATCAAAGTTCATGAAGTCACGCATTATAATTGACTATAGCTTAGGCGTAAAATATTCTCAATAACGAAGGAACTTTTAAAAGTGAGGCAATTATCTCATGAGCTCATAAGATTCTTGAGAAAGTATGTATAGAAAGAAAAACTATAAGTAAAGATTTCATACGACACTGTCGAAGCTAATTTTAAAATTCTAACTTTGAAAAAAGTGACGCAGATCGAGCGCGCGACGTTGTTATTCATCAACATATACTAAAATATATCTGAACTTGACCGACAGCAATTTATTCGTAGCAAAGCTTCTAAAAACCATGAATGATATTTATAATTAATATATCTATTATATACATATTAACTTTATTCCAAGTACACGAGAAATTTGTGTAATAAATGTATTAACCCACAACGAAAAAAATCTTTAATCCAGAGATACGATGGCGTGATTGGGTCACGAGCACAGAGCTCAAATAAGCTACGGATAACTACTGTCACTGGATAGATAGATAACTAGTTATATTTTGTCTTCGTACAAACCGGTCCCAATTATATTAATTCATTACGAGTCTTATATTTAAGTCATAAGTTATTGCTTGTTTGGTCTGTTCTGTTATATTGTACCACATTACGTAAGTTTGACGAATTTTATACTCTTCACTGAACCGAATTTGTTCTTTATAATATAAACTTATTCATACGTATTTAACCTACCTTATTGAATGATTTAAAACCAAGCCAGTAATTTTAAAATGAATGCATGCAGATTTTATTGTAGAGGTAACCGTATCCTTACATTCCTTTAATGTATTGTCCTACCAGGATTCTTGGTTTGGATCGACCACACGTCATGACCTCATGCCTCGAGTTGCCCGCGGTTAAGTCTAGTAATGTCGGCGGGCGCGCGGAGATACTACGAAATTTACTTCGAGTGTTGAAAGGTATTGAAAAGATGAAGAGATTTGCAATACGAGAAGATAATCGAATATCATCAGCTGACTGTACCCGATTTATAGACAGAAGCAACGGAGTTTAATTCTGTAGTAATCTCCACTGAAAAAACAATTCCAACATTTTGAATAAACTCTTAGATAGTCCCTAAAGCCGTAAAAGAATGTAAAAGAATAATTATTGTGCCTTAGTGCTATGTTGGAAAAGGATTTAATATGAAGTTATTTTTCAATATATGAATCTTTGAATTTCATGGACCACGAAAGTCATCTGTGACCGCGGTGCATCACGGTAAGTGACAATGGGTCTTTAAGAGAAAATTTAGGTACCTGTGGCGGATTTAGGGGGGGTTCATTGGGTGCAAATGAACCCCCCCCCCCCCCCCCCCCCCCCCCCCCMCCAGCTGGTACCTTTGAGTTTTCATATTTTTTTGAATAAATAAATAAATAAAAGTCCTGGATCCGCCACTTTGTACATATTTCTTTAGTTAGCTCTCGATCTTAAGACCAGTAAGAAAACCTACAATCAAGCTAGGAAATTGATCTTTACTTGTATTTAGAGAACTAACTAAACGAACAAAGTAAATAGCTCATTTAAAAGTACATTTGTACGGAAATTCAAGAACGATGTCCGAACCAGTTTTGGAGACAGTAACTCAATCTAAAACAATTTATACTCCGTGACGGCTATCGCCGAAAAGGTGGATTATTCATAAAATACATTTATTATATAATTCATAGTACACTCAACAAAATTACTCGACTCTGATTGGTCGAGAGGAGTACAATTATAGCGTTAATTGTACTCCGTAGGAGTACCGAATTAAGTCGCTATGGCAACACGGCCAAGACAATGTCAAAACAATTATTTTCCATCATTTTGTACTTTAAAAACATATAAATAAATTTTTAAAGCCGTAAGAACTAATCTTTTTTATGCATTTCAGTTGCGCGATGGACTGAAAATCGGCCGCCAAATAGACAAAGATGAACGGCGTCGCTTCACATTTTTCACTGAAATTTTGTTGAGTGAACTATAAACAAAAAATCGCACGATATTCTCGTACAATTTGGAATTAATAGACACTCGTAATGTTTTGAAAGTTCTTTAATTGCACTCGCCTAAAGGCTTGTGCAATTACAAGAACTTTCAAAACATTACTCGTGTCTATTAATTTCCAAATTGTACTCGAGATCGTGCGATTTCCTATACTAATTACCAATGAAATATCTATTTTTCTCTATTTCGAAAAATTGATATCTTCACACATGAAAATAACATGTTATTTTCACGTGTGAAGATAACACCATTGCGATGGCTATTCAAAAATACACGGAAAGAATTGCCTGAAAAARCCAAAACTTCATTGATAATCATATAATAGACAGAATATTACATGGCCGCTTGGAGATAGGAATTCGTATCTCCGCGCGCCAATGTAATATCCTCTACATATATTTATTAATCGTTACCAGGGCCCCCTTTTTGGGGATAGAGCCAGAGGAGTAGAGTGGAACTAGGAACGAGAATGTACTTGGTTATGATCGTTATTACATTCGGTCATGACTGATCTCTCAAAAATGTCCTCATCAGTAATATTATTCATTTCTATAATAACATAAGCTCGTTAACCAATCTCCTCTACGTAAGGGATGGTTGTTGGTTGAGGAATTAAGTAGTGAAAGGGTTGTTCACTTTTGAGGCCACCGACGCCAGCATATTCTTTGTGATCTATCTGCAAAATGGCGAATCGTTTTCGACAGTTTCGCCTTCTCCTGTGGAAAAACTTCATTCTACAGGTAATATACCGCATTCTCAATGGTGTTGTTACCAGGTAATTTTGGTTTTTCTTAAATTGTTTTTCCTTTTATTTTTCATAGATTCGAAGACCTATTGGAACTGTATTCGAAATCATACTGCCAATTCTTCTTGTTTCCATTCTGATATTACCAAAGTAAGTGAATAGCCTCGTATGACTAGAAGAAAAACTATCCGCTTTAGTAAAAACCCAATATGCTTAAGCATCTCTTTACTCATTTACTCTCGGATTATTGCTGAATTGTTATTATATTCTCCCGTTCAAACTTATGTCAGTAGTCAGTAGTCAGAGTACAGGTGACCTCTGTAATATTAAAAGCGGAAGCTGGCGCCAGAACTGAAAGCTCCTGTGCGAAACCTGATCCCGCTCTGGGGAGTGGATTTACATATACAACTACTAGCTGCAAAGTTGAAAACTATATGGAAAAGAAGGTGCCGTGCCATATCAGTTTCGAATAGACGAGTATTTTCTCATTTATAAAATTATGACTATGAATGAGGCAGCTGGTTATATTTATTCAGTGAATTCCCCGTACGTCATAAGCGACATTTAATACCCTTTTACGATATATGTTGATGATTATAATCCTTATGTCGCTAGTGGGTAGGTCAATCCAACTGATTCTGGATGATCCTGGGATGATTCTGGACAGTACAGGACACGATGGGGTCCTTTTGTTTGGAAGCACCTTATAGCGCGTTCAATATTTACCAAATTATCCAAAAAGTATATTTTTCCTCATTGTCAATAATTTATTGGTGCTTTTATTGGTTCATTCTCGGATGCTCATCATGATAAGGCGCTGAAATACGAGACACAAAAACGTCCAACTTGTCGCGAAACATTGTTGCGGTGCAAGTTCGAAAACAATGTTGCTGGTTTCACACCCTATCTATCCAACTTGTCACACAACAAAATCTTTTGTTGCAGATTGGGAAAACTTGCGAATTTGCGATTTGTTGCTCGGTTTTCATCACTCGTCCAACTTGTCACGCAATATTTTATGTGCAGAAACGGCCGCCATCTTGAATTTTGTAGCTTGTAGCCAATCAGCGTGCAGAATATCACCGTTATAGTCGTTATAGTCCCAACTTGCAACGATAGATTTCGTTGCGTGACAAGTTGGATAGATAGGATGTAAAACGAGCAACATTGTTTTCGAACTTGCACCGCAACAATGTTGCGCAACAAATTGGACGTTTTAGTGTCTCGTATTTCAGCGCCTTTATAGACTAATTATTATGCGTGCTCTGATGCGTGCTATTACTGTATTTCAAGGGTTAATTGTAGAATAGATACTAAGAATAGAACGATGCCGAATATATATATAGCACGATAGAAGAATAGCAATCTACAAATAGCAAAATTTGTATAATTTGCAATTTTAATTAGTAGTTATCGCCACACTCCCCTGTTCGGTTTTTTAAACTTAATAAATTGAATATCAAGCGCTATATCCTCAGATTTTGGCGATTAACTTGTTTGAAAGATAAAAAACAAAAAATATACATTATTGAAAATAATAAGGATTTTGATATGCTAATTTTGAACAAAATATGATCTTCAGTAACCCGCTGTACCGTTCAAAAACAACCTAAGCTCCCCATGTCGTAAAATATTTTTTTGACTTGACAAGCAGTGTTAGTGTGGCGATATATTTGGAATTTTGTAAGGCGCATTTGGAGGACAGCTCGAAATTTGACTTACAGGTTTTGAGCCTCACTCGTATTTGAATCTTCGGCAGGATCAGTCATAATGTTTGTTCTTTCGGACGAAGAAAATCGTCAGGACAGAGAAAAGATACAATAGATTAGTAAGAGCTCAGTACTGAAGGAAGTAAAAAGAAAACGAAACTAATGAATTTAGACTTTCGAAAGACCTACTTGGCGTACCCTGGGTTCCAGAGGGATTTTTTTCGCGGATTTTCTGACTGAGACGTTAGCGCTTTCTCGGCTTCGCCTCTCTCAGTCAGTAAATCCGCGAAAAAAATCCCTCTGCAACCCAGGTATTCTTAGCGGGTTTAAGCTCCAGACTCGCCTCGCGCTCGTATATACGCAGCGAGTACGACTTGTACCAAGCGATTCTAAGCCAAACTTTTCAGACATCAAGTTTGCATATTGGTAATCACATGGTGGCGAGTGAATTTTAGGATGAATTTCACGCGTTTGTCAAAACGAAGTAATTTCCTGAGCCAGGGAACAGAGGGAAATGTAAGCAAATTTTGCAATTGACAAATACAAGTGAAATCCCTAATTTAATGATTTTCCAATTACGTGAAATACATGTGATTCCCAGAAATAATCAGTTATAAAGGACAAATTACGGCAGAATTTGTTAGTGAAAGCTCAATTTTGTTGGATTTTCAAAATTTATCTTTTTTTGAAAA